TTCTGCTATATCTCTTTGTTTTTTTAGAGAGCATAATACTTAGTTTTCATAAAAGTGCATGGTAACTAGTACTACTATATTATTCTATTTGATACATTATTTTTCTTTAATGTTCTAGTCATATCACTTTGATCTTGAAGTAAGCTTATTGCAGCAAAGACCACATGTGAATTTTTAATATTATTTTATATTTTCATATATCTGTTTAACACTAATTACTTAGCTGATTTGAGTAAACGAAAGTCTAATGTTGAGAATTATATCCAAATGACATTATGAATAGTTTAACTCAAGAGGTAAATATTGCCTTCACAATAATAATAGTTCTTCAAAATGTGAAGGCAATGTTTACCATCAAATTGGTATGCAAAATAATAAAGCACGCCGCTGATTATGATACATTCATTGAAGAGAATGTGACTTGTGATAAGCATTGAGAATGCAGACCCATTTCTAAAGGTGAATGTTGTAATATGTTATAAAAGTAATGAATAAAGACATGCAATGCATGATTGGATGAATACCACACAACTCACCTTTGAGGGAGGTTTGAGTGAAATAAAGAGAATAAATATTATTGTGTGGTTACATGAATATGTCATTGGTCGCGTACATGTGATACGCCAAAAAAATATATTTTGTTGTGCCTTATAGAAGGTTATTAAAGGCAAAATTAAAGCAAAAAAAAAATGACTTTGCTTATGATGATTTTGACAATGACAATTTATTATGATATAATTTTCTCCATGCAGGAGACATTTACTATATGAATGGTGTGACAAAAGATCTTGTAGTACAAAAGTTGTTAAGAGCTCCGGAAAAATTAATTTGTTACTACCCGAATGAATAAAAGNGTGAGGCAATAGCTTACCAAGGCGATGATCAGTAGCTGGTCCGAGAGGATGATCAGCCACACTGGCCGATTTTCTTTCNCAAATGTATAAGTCAAAGTGGTTGGCATATTGAGACTATAAATGAAAGGAATATTTTCATATTTCTATAATCATAACGGATAAATATGAAAGATTGATTAATCGTCAGAGATGGCTTAGAACCAACAGTTCATTATCTAATGGATCTTTCCGTCCAGTGGCGGACGGGTGAGTAACGCGTAAGAACCTGCCCTTGGGAGGAGAACAACAGCTAGAAACGGCTGCTAATACCCCGTAAGCTGAGGAGCAAAAGGAGGAATCCGCCCGAGGAGGGGCTCGCGTCTGATTAGCTAATTGGTGAGGCAATAGCTTACCAAGGCGATGATCAGTAGCTGGTCCGAGAGGATGATCAGCCACACTGGCCGATTTTCTTTCTAGTTGTACTACACAAATATAAGCATGATGATGGAATCATATGTCACAAGTAAACTAGAGGTTTACTAAAACAAATATTAGTTGGCATGACCGGTTGACCAGCTCAGTTCAATTATAATGCGAAAAATTAATTGAGAATTACATTGACATATATTGAAGAAATATTAGATTTTTCAAGAATTCTCTTGTGCTGCTTATTCTCATGATATATCAGTTAAAGTTGGGATTGAATCCTTTGATTTCTGGAACTAATAAAATGTGATAAATATATGGGCCCAGTCACCTGCCATGTCGACCGTTTACTATTATATGATTTTAATAGATGCATCTATTCTTTGGTCACATGTGCATTTGTTATCAACTTGCAGTTTGGTTTTTGCAAGACTGATTGCTCAAATTATTATAGCACAGTTCCAAAATATAAATTATGATTATTTATCTTGATAATACTGGTTTAAATCCAAGTTGGTTTAGCAGAAATTATATGCCTCCAATTATAGCTAAACCATTAGTTATGAAAATAAAATTGCCAAAATAAAATTTAGTATGTGATGTATTATTTAATATACAACAACACTTGTATGCATCTAACCAAATTAAGATAAGTTCTCCCTATCAAAATCGGTTCAGGGTCAGTAACCAAATAATTTCCATCTAGAAATATGAACGTGCTATATGATTTAATTGTTCCACCACAATATACAAAGATGGATCCTCAAATAAGGCTAGGGATATGTGTCGGTGATCCCAACAATAGGGGGAGAAAATGGGTAGCTGAAAAAGTAATGCATGTAATGAATTTTAGTACATCTAGATCCTCGTATGAGAAAATGTGAACTTGAAGTTCAAGGGATAATTCATTTGCAAAATATTGCCAGACGTATTTGCTGACCCAAAGTTAAATATCATATTCAGCTGCTAATGCTCCACATAAAATAAAGTTCATAATGAATAGAGTCTATGGCATGCATGAAGCATAATAGACTAATCGGTTCCAAAGATAAAACTCCTTGAAAAAGGAGAGGAGCAAATGTTCAAGATGGTCATAATAAGGAGGCAAGTGCTCTAGAAGAGCACCACGACATAACACTTCATAAGGCCTCATGGGAAAAGCTCAAGTACCTGAAAATAATAAGAAAGAGATCGCAATAAGTTATGTCTTTATTGGATAATAGTAGAATCGATATAAAATGATCGTCGACGATATTGTTAATATAATGTAGCGCTCAATATTATTAATATTGACGAGGATCTTGAGTTCAAATCTATCATGAAATTTGGACAGATAAATGATTGGCCAAATAAAAAATACGCAATGAAAATTGATTTCACCTGAAAAATATGAAGTTGGACGGATAGTCCCAACACCTGAAAGTATAAAGCCAGGTATAAATGCGTTCTTGTGCAAAAAAAAAAGGTCAAGTCGATAAACATAAAAACGACTTGTGTCACTAGAAAATTTGTAAATATCCTTACATTGATTATATAGAGACACGTTCTCCTGTGGTGGATGTCGCCATTTCAGGTTTTAATCTGGCAATACAAGAAAAATGTGATATGCGTATAATGGAAATCATTGAAGGATTTAAATTGTTCTGAAGCATATTAAGGTTTCCAAGAAATTTATTAAATAAAGTTTCAAAAATTCTTATACGGATTGAAACAATTAGGGCGCATGTGGTATAGTCGCTTGAGTGAGTACCTGTTAAAAGAAGGGTACAAGAAGGATTTAATTTATCCTTGTATCTTTATAAAAAGATCCGGATCTAAATTTATTATAATCACCGTGTACGTTGATGATTTAAATATCATTGGAACTCATAGGGAGCTTCCTAAAGCAGTAGAACTTCCTAAAGCAGTAGACTATTTAAAGAAAGAATTTGAAATGAAAGATCTTGAAAAGACAGAATTTTGTCTTGGTCTACAAATTGAGTATATGAAAGATGGAATTTTTGTCCATCAATCAGGATACACCAAAATGATTTTAAAGCGATTATATATGGATAAAGTACATCCATTCCGACCTCATGAAAATAATGAAGAGCGTATTGGTCCTGACGTACCATATCTTAGTGCAATTGGTGCATTAATATATCTTTCTAACATTACAAGGTCTGACATAACTTTTTCAGTTAATGTCTTAACAAGATATAGCTCTGCTCCTACAAGGAGACATTGGAATGGAATCAAACATATATTGCGGTATCTAAAAGGGACTACCGATATGAGATTATTTTATGGCAATGATTATAGTCCCGATCTTATTGGTTATGCCGATGCTGGGTATCTATATGACCCACACAAGGCTCGATCTCAAACAGGCTATGTGTTTACATATGGAGGCACTACCATATCTTGGCGATCGACTAAGCAATCAATCGTGGCTACTTCATCAATTCATGCTGAGATAATTGCTATTCATGAAACAAGTCGAGAATGTGTATGATTGAGGTCTATAATACACCTTATTCGAGACAAATGTGGTTTGAAATGTGACAAACTATCCACAATTTTGTATGAAGACAATGCATCATGCATAGCCCAATTGAAGGGAGGATTTATAAAGGGGATAGGACAAAGCAAATTTCACCAAAGTTATTTTTCACACATGATCTTCAAAAGAATGGTGATATCAATGTGTAACAAATCCATTCAAGTGATAATACGGCTAATCTGTTCACCAAATCTCTACCGACGTCAACCTTCAAGAAACTAGTGTACAAGATTGGGATGCGAAGGCTCAAGGACGTGAATTGATGCTCTCATCAGGGGGAGTTAATACGCGTTGTACTCTTTTTCCCTTATAAGATTTTATCCCACTGGGTTTTCCTTGCAAGATTTTTAATGAGGCAACCAAAAGGCGGATTACTAAACATGTGTACTCTTTTTCCTTCACTAGGATTTTTTTTTCCTATAGGGTTTTTTCCTAATAAGGTTTTAACGAGGCACATTATCTATGGACATCCAATGGGGAGTGTTATAAGAAAAATCAAATTATGGTGGATGTCTACTCTTCCTCCATGATCTTTTCAAATGCTTAATGACATATTTCTATGCTTAATGACATATTCAATGACATATTTTTTTTTCATTTTTCATGCCTATATAAAGACCTTGTAATAGATAAGAAAATACACACAATTGAAGAAGAAAATCTCTTCCTTCTCTCTATCTCCATTTCTTGTTCATGTTTTACTAAATTGCTTTTATTTCATAATAACATATCTTGTTCATATTTTACTAAGTTGCTTTTATTTTATAACAACGTGATATATTTTAAAATATCACCATCTATAATTGCGTACTAGTACTAGCCCCGCGCCTTCATCTTTTTACCTTCTGATTCAATCGACTAAAAGTCAAGAAATTTTACAGACAGGTTTTCCAATTTATCTCATTCTATTGGTTGACAATTCATAAGCACAACAGATTATTGTCTAAGCTAATCTAGACGTTTGCACTTATTTCTTTCGGTGATAAAACCATTCAAATGTAGTTCTCCATACGGAATGCCTAACTTTACAAGAAATTCAAAACGTGGTAAATTAAATTTCAATGTTTTGACTTTTCTCTACCCATATGGCATACTTTAACGAAAATTAGGCTCTCATTTTTCCAAAAGTTTGAAAAGCAAAACTCAAAACGATCACATATGCCATACATTTCAACATCGGCTTCTATAAATATATAAACACTTGGCCCCAAATATTTCATGCATTAACCATATCCTTAAAAATGAAGATCATATCAAGGATTTTATTGCTTTCTTGCCTCCTCTTTTTTGCCTTATTCCAGGTAAAAGCTGAACCAGTTCTTGATACTAATAAACAAGAAGTCCGTCCAGGTTACAGCTACTACATTTTGCCGGCAACCACCGGCGCAAACGGCGGTGGACTAACGCTAGCGAAAGGCGAAAACGGGAGCTGCCCGCTCGACGTTTTTCAAGCACAAAATGTTCAGAGCAAAGGCCTTCCTTTAAAATTCTTAATGGTGAATTCAAGTTCAGGGCTAGTAATTGACGAAAATGAAGACATAAATATCAAATTTGCAGCACCAAGATACGTGTCTATTTGCAATAAAACCACTGTTTGGAAAATTGAAGATGGGTTTGTGACCACTGGCGGAATTAAGGGTGGGTCTGAAAATGGCACGGCCACAAGTTTGTTTACTATTCAGAAGTATGAAGATGCCTATGCGTTACAGTATTGTCCAAGAGCTACAGGGTGTTCTTTTATTTGTCCAAGATTGTTGTGTGGGTATATTGGTATTGCACCAGCGAATAATGGATCGAGGCGTTTGGCTGTCAATCGTCCGGTTTTCAAGATTTTATTCCAAAAGGCTTAGCATACAGAGGGCGGACTCAAGATTTTTCTTAATTAAATATTTATAACAGATGTGAACTTATATGAGCAAAAGCTATTAGAATTAGGTGAACGCATAATTATAAGCTAGGTTTGCCTCTACTAAGATATTCATAGATAACATATATAGCCAAAATAATAGCAAGCCCTGATGTTATAATTTATTGGCGTGGGCCGTATGCATGTTATGCAGGATGTGTTTCATTTGATTTGTCATTTAATCCACATGAATAAATGATTGATATATATTTAAGAAATGTAAATTTTTAGCCGCTTCCAAAGATAAGATAATGGACGACAAAATGAATATTTATATATATACATTTTTTGGCTAGCGAATATAATTAATTTCGGCCTACCAACCAATTTTGATTTTGCCCAATATATTTCCTGTAGTTCACCTTTTTGTTATTTTGATTTATTATTATCCTAATTTCCTTTCTCTATTGAATTGATTAAAAATCAAGGTTATCAAATTGTTACTATTTTATTTTTTCTGTACGTTATCATGCATATTTGACTTGCTACGAAGAGTAATTTTTGGTTACTTATATTTTTACAATTACATAAGAGGGTTAAAGGAAAAAGGGACGGGACAGTAAGGATTGTGTGAAGACTTTAATAGATACACCAGAATCCAGATTATAAAGCTTTAGTTTGCTCTAATAAGTTATTTGTTATTAAATTATTTATACTATTAATGCAAAAAACTTAAGATCCATGTAAGAAAAATTTTGTTATATATAATTAAAAAGTTTACAAAAAAAAAAATAAAAAAATCTATCAATGTCTGCAATTTAACCTATAGCAGGTTGTTACTTGGTTTTCTAGAAATTACGTGTTATAAATCAACTTATCTGATAGTGTGAAAAATGTATATATTACCGGTACACAAAACTTAAATTCCATGTTAATTTAGGTTATATCCACCGTGCCAAATGTATCAAAACAGATGCAGTCGCATCTTTTGTCCTATAGTAGTGTAGTGTCGGCATAGAGGAAACAGAGTAGAAATCGGATAGCTCATCTTGGAGTCGGCACTTACATCTTGCAGTAGCTCCTCTGGTTTTCCAAATCAGATGTAATCGTAGTGGAAAAGGGCATCTGATTGCTCATCCCTGGCCTGAATCGACCAAGGTGCGCTCCATTGTCAGTGGGATAACAATAAAATGATAGAATGCCTTTCTTCACAGCTCTTTTCCTAAACTATCAACGCATTTTCTAATTGTTTTTGGACCGATCAGCCGGATTCATCATGAATTGACAAGTTTTAATCTTATTGCCAGTCTAGCTTTTATGAGGGTTTTGAACCGGCAATGTGAGCAAGCCCGCACTAGGAAAAGTTACCTCAAAAGCCTACAAATCCTTAGAATCAATATAGACTTAGCTAAATATAAGACACAGTGGAAGAGAAAAATCCATTTATGTGATATGTACTAGTTGGGAGTATGTTTTAGACTTGGTAGAGAACTTCCACTATTATTTTTACTATTATATATATATATATATATATATATACACACTTACAAATTTAGTTTATTTTGGTAACGATGATGATATATTGATATGAAACGAACGACGATTCATAGTTTCATACTGTGGATCCTAACTTGTTTAGAATTAAAGTGTAATTATTGTTATAGTTATTTTATTTGAATCGTACATACTCACCTATGTCAACAGTAATCTGTCAAGGAACAACAAAACAAAAGATGATAAAGAAGTACTAGTAGTAAAATATTTCCAATCTTTTGAGTTGAAAACTTGAGGCGGCTTTTCATTGCAACTAAAAAGTCCACAACAATTTGGCGCAAAGGACTATAGTTTAAATGACCATAATATCCCTTTGATAATATTCTCCATGCTTGTGGTTTTTGATTTTATTTCCTAGTGATGTTTCGAAGAATTAAAAAAAAACGTTCAAGAATTTTTTTGGAAATAAAATAATAATGAGGTTCTAAACCCACTTGATCCGTCCCCACAAAACATACAGGTTCTACAGATTGTGAATTCCACTCCCTCCCTTTTTCCATATTTTTTCTGTTTCTTCGTTGGTATTGCTAAAGGGAATATTATTAAAACAGAGTAAAGATTAGTTAGTCGGTTATATTAGTTAATTACGGTTAGTGTAGTTAGTTAACGCCGTTAGTGAGTTGGTTAGTGAGCAGCACATGATGTGCACGCGACTCCACCAAGATATTTGTATAAAGTCTGCAGACTTGTATCTTTGTAATGCAAGAGAAAAACCAGATCTTCTTCTTCATTATTCCCTTTCTAAATTCCAGAATATTCTTTCGCCATAGATGAGCCCTAGCTTCTCATTTATGTAAATTAACTAAGATTCATAGAATTAATCCTCAATTTAATATGGTATCAGAGCGGCGGTCGTGAGGCGTGAACTCCAGCGTAAAGCTCCGACTGAATTAGAACGATTTCGAGCTGGAAGAGGCGGATATGGCGAAAAATGAAGTAAGTTCACTTGATCACAATCATCCATTATACCTTCAAGCTGGAGACACTAAAGGGCTGGTTTTAATTCCAATCAAGTTCACAGGGCCAGAAAATTATGCCCTGTGGAGCAGAGCAATAAAATTGGCCTTGCGAGGAAAGAGCAAACTAGGTTTTGTGGATGGATCGTGTGTAAAAGCTAGGTACAAAGGGGAATTGGTTGAACAATGGGAAAAATGCAACGCAATAGTGTTATCATGGATAGGAAGCATTGTTTCGAATGAATTAATGCCAAGTATTGTCTATGCATCAGATGCGAGGAAAGCGTGGAATGATTTTCAGGAGAGATTTGATCGCTCAAATATGACGAGAATTTATCATTTCTGGACTAAGATAACAACAATGCGGCAAGGAACAGACTCAGTAACGAGTTACTACACGAAAATGAAGGATCTATGGGACGAATTGGATGTGTTGGCTCTTTTATTGTGCTGTGATTGTGAGGAAGCGAGGCCGTCTATTGAACTCTTGAAGTCACAATGTTTGCTGCAATTTCTTATGGGATTGAATGAAAGTTACAACAACGTAAGAAGCAATATACTTGCTAGGAGACCAGTGGTGACAGTAAATAAAGTTTATGCTATTGTCATACAGGAAGAGAGCCAGAGATCGCTTGGTGTTGTGGATACTCACAAAGATCCATTAACTATGCTAGCAGGAAAAACGCAAGGGTTCAGACCAAGAAGACCAGGGATGATATGTGAATATTGTGGCTATAAAGGCCACTTGAAGGAAAATTGCTATAAGATTGTAGGGTACCCCCAGACTTTAAAAGTAAGAAGAAAGGTAGTCAATCTGGTGGAGCTCTTAGGCAGTCTAGCAGCAGAACACAGACTGGAGGAGGCTATAAGCCAAGAATCAACAGTGCAGCAACAGAGGATCAGGTGCAGGGACATATTTTTACTCAGGAAGAGTATTCACAACTCATGAGCTTGCTTAACAAACCTCCACCAGGTGATTGCATCTCGAACATGATGGCAGATACTGTTACATTACTTTCCCAGACTTATAATTGTGAATGGATAATAGACTCAGGAGCATCACACCACATTACACCCTGCAAGGAATTACTAGAAGACATAAGAAGCTTAGAAAAGAGTCACAGCAGTAGAGTGCAAGTACCAACTGGAAATAAGTTATCTATATCTAGTGCAGGAAGTACGGTGTTACTAGGAAGTCATAAAATCACCAATGTGTTGCACGTGCCAGATTTCAAATTTAATTTTCTTTCAGTTTCAAAGCTAACCAAGGAATTGCTGTGCAAGGTCACTTTCTTCCCTAACTTTTGTGTGTTTCGGAGACTTTACAATGGCAAAGTAATGGGGATTGATAGAGAAAATAATGGACTCTACATATTGCAAAAAGAAGTAAAGCCTACAGTAGGAGCAACCGTAATAAAAGGTGCAGATGAAGTTGAGTTGTAGCACTTAAGGCTAGGACATCCTTCAGCTATAGCAATGCAACACATACCAAGACTGAAGAACAAGCTAAATAACGCAATGCAAGAGCAATGCACGGTATGCCCAATGTCAAAGCAAGTGAGATTAAAATATCCTGTTAGTAAAAGTAACACTAGTGGTATTTTCCAATTGATACATGTAGATGTGTGGGGACCTTACAAAAGGCCTATTTTTGATAGAAAGCAATTCTTTGTTACTATGGTAGATGACTATAATAGATACACTTGGGTCTGTTTACTTCAATCTAAATGTGAAGTGTCAGTTGTACTTAAGGATTTCTTGACTATGATAAAAAATCAGTTTGGTGCATGTGTGAAAATATTAAGGTCGAATAATAGCACAGAATTCTTTAATTCTCAATGTAATGAACTCTTGTAATCATTCACCAAAGCAGTTGTGCTTATACACCACAGCAAAATAGGATAGTAGAAAGAAAACATAGACATATTTTAGAAGTGGCAAGAGTATTGAAAATTCAAGGTGCTATTCCAGTCAGATTCTAGGGTGAATGTGTTAAAACAACAGTTTATCTAATAAATAAGTTGCCTACACCAGTACTAGAAGGCAAAACACCATACGAGGCACTATATGGGAAGGAACCAGTGATGGATCATTTGAGAGTGATTGGATGTCTGTGCTATGCAAGCAACTTACCTAGATATGATAAACTAGCTCCTAGAACAAGGAAGACAGTATTGATGGGCTATTCTGAGACTCAAAAGGGGTACGAGCTGTTTGACTTGGACACTAAAACCTTTTTTATCAGTAGGGATGTTAGTTTTAGGGAAAGAATTTTCCCTTTCAGAACCATGCCAATTGAAAATGAAGATGATGTATTATTCATGCCAATAACCAATTTAGGAGGGGCACATACACACAATGAAGAGAGTTCTCATGCTTCACCTACACCACAGCAGTCACCAGATCCAATACACCAAGATGGAAGTGATTCTACAGAAACTACACATACACATGGCATTGCAGAACACCAGACAGATACATAGGACATTGCACCAGATTCTTCATTAGAGACAATGGATGAATGTCAACCAATAGTGTCTAATAAAGAGATGCCTATTGAGGAACTAGTAGAAAGACAACATTCAGCTGAACAAATGACAGAGATTGACAGAGGCAAACGAGTTACTAAACCACCCATTTGGTTAAAAGATTATGTCACTACAAAAGAGGGTCTGTTAAGTGCTCATACTCCATTGCAAATTATGTGGGATATAATCACTTATCTGCTGACTATCAGAAATATTTGATCTTGTTTTCAAGCCCAACAGAGCCAA